AAATGGGCACGGGTTCAATTTGGGTACGGGTGTATCCGCGTTCATGGAATATACAGGGTGTTTCAAATGGATGGACACAATTTCAAAGCAGCATATTTCACGATGGCAACATGTTACAATTGCATAAAAAGTAACAAACGGTTTAATGAGTTATCACGTTTTACTAACCATTGTATAAATGCTCTACGTGCCCTCCACCAGCTGTACGGACAACATCGAGACGATAGTTGAATTTGTCCCAAACGCCTCTCTTCTCACGTTTTCCTCTGAGGTGCGTGGTCGCCCTGTACTCTTCCCCTTACATCAACAGCCTGCTTCCTCAAATCGTCGGTACCAACGACGAAAGCTCTTTGACATTGGCGGGTCAATGCCAAAACGCCGTTGAAACGCACGCTGCACCGCAATTACGGATTCAGTCTTGCTGAACTGCAGAACGCAAAACGCCCCTTGAGCTTCGGGGTCACCGTCTTGCGAATGACTGAGGCCAGGGGTTGTTTGTGCGCTGGGAGAGGCATCTTGTGATAATCATTTAAAACTCTATGCCCAGCCCTTTCAAGTGGTAAGAGTTTCATTCATGGGCGGTTCGTGGTTGCAGAGATATAGCGATTTCAAATCGGGTCAATCTTTTTGAATCACGCTGTATTATCATCAACCTCTCCTCCACATACAATAGACACCGCCAGAGAGCCTGCCCCACGCCTGGATCCTCTGTCCAAGGGTGGGGTTAAAGAAAACAGGAAGGGAAACAGGAAGGTAAGCTGTCAGTGGGCAGATGCTCATTTCTCTTGCCAGTGACCAGTGACCAAGCCATTCCGAAAATACTCGGAATTCCTTTATCTTTCTCACACACACACACGCGGAAATGTCTTCAAGCAACTATCTCTTCAATGGTATGTAAACACTATTCTATTTTACCGAATATATACATCTTCTGTATACTTATACGAATTCTTACTTTGATAATAATTAAAGCGTTTGTAATTATTATAGATGCATAACAATGATTATTTTTGGGATGATTCAGTGGTGCAATGGACTGGACTTGCCAATCCAGAGGTTGCCAGTTCGACCGCCTGTCGCGACAATGGATACAATGAATGTTTTGTTAAATCCACCGGCCTGTCCACCCAGCAGTACACACGGATAGACCAGTTAATAGATCTGAAGCTCACGTGTGGTTACGCACAAGAGTTGACCAAGCTTCCCTCTGGAGGGGCTCTCGAGTGCTCCCTCGTTTGGAGGCCCATCCACCAGCAGCGGCATAAGCGAGCAATTGCAGGGCTGAACCTTTTACTTTTTAATAATATGAAGTGGTGATCGCATGCACTGTCGTTTTGTGATGGAATGCTTAACGCCGGTCCACGGTTGAGAAAAATCATTTGAATCACGCGGCTACTTAATCCTGCACATTCACTCAGCCAACACAATGGGAACCGCGAGCCTCTTTCCAGACACACGCACGTGTATCAATCTCGGCAGTGTTTTGGGAGCAACATCTTACGGCCAGTTATATTCATGTGTATGTGTGAATAATAATAATAACAACCACCTCGTGAAGTGTGTGTGTGTGTGCGCGAGCTCGATGAAAGGTTGCTCAGGCACCCCCGTGGTCTTACCCAGAGCTGCTTGCTGAAGAAACAGCTGGGCCAAATTGATGGCGGCTTGAGATAAAGCCAGAATAAACACCACTGCTGTGGGTCTGAATTTCCATACATATTGCGCGTTATGCAATTTAAACATATTTTTCGTCAAAAAATGTGTATGGAAGGAAAAAACACATTACACTGTATAAATAACGGCAGTCATTTCACCGAGTTCACTGTAAAAAAAACACAAAGCTCCACGAACATGTAGCGAGTAATTACATGCGTTATTTAAACGCATTTACAATGAAATGTCGCAGTAGGAACAAAAGTTGCTTTGATTTGAAATAATTGTGAATTAAGCCATGTATTACGGGAATTGGAACGTATATTATTCCACACATACAGCACTTTGGAAGAAATTCGGACTTTGGAATGTAACATGTTTTAAAATATAAAAGTATAAACAAGGCTTATAGCACACAATTATTCCTTGTTACCTTTTTAAACGATTTCTGTCTTGAAACATTTAGCCATTGTTGTTACCCGATTGCATTGCAATTATGCTGTCAGCATCATGTCATGAGACAGAATACATTCAGAAATCCTGCAGTGTGACCTCATGTCACACAATGGCTACAGTAGCATTTTTTTCAAAGGACTTATAAATAAAAACTCAATTGAAGTTCCCTTTTATATAATTTACATAGTTGAGGTCACATTTTCCCACACTACTGAGAGACTGGCGGATGGGAATCAAACTGGTATATTTAATTCTTAGAGCGTGAAACCAAATTTGATGTTTTGTGCAGTCATTGGTGACCGAGAATCGACTATCATCTCGCTACACTTGAGTTGTCCTTCCCCACACCTCCGATGAGTTCAAAGTACACATACTTGAGAGCGTCGCTTTAATCATGGGTGGCTGAAACATGGATTCGAACCCAGGTGTTGACCCAGTGCTCTCACATCTAAAAACTTCCAGCTTTTCTCAGAAAGTGATTCTTAAATTTTTTACAAAATTAAATTATCTTTTAAAATATATACTGTACTTCGAAGTCGGGTCAGCACCCGGGGAGGGGAGGTGTTCTCGGTGAGCCCTGTCACCCCAGAATCTCCCTGTGACCCACTTTATTTTACCAGGTAAGACCCACCGAGCTATATAGCTTTTTCAGAAGCGACCTGGCCACATTATAACGAAGTGGCTTCTCAAGTGGAAAGTTATAGCGGCCAAATACTCTAAACGCATGTTTCTAAATGTGGAGGGAAAAAACTGGCCCCGGAAAAAATTCACATGACCACGGGGAGAAAGACATGCAAACTCCAAATATACAGACGTCAGGGTCGAGATCGAACCTGCAACCTCATGCATACCAGGCGAGGTAGTTCACATCTCGCAACCGTGGCTCCCAAGTGGTGCGTCACTGTTATGGTGGCTCCACACACAACAGCTCCACTGCCCACCTCGGCATCCAAGAGGAGCTGGAACCGGGCCTGCTTCCACGTGTTTTGTAAGTAAAGCCGAGTAGATTACTTTCTTAAATGCACTTTCATGTTAAAACTACAGTACTTGGTATTTGGTGGCTTACTGAGCCGAATGGCAACACTATGGTAAGGACACAAGTTGTGTACATTTTCAGTATGCAGTATGTGAATTAATAGCCACAACATGGTTTGCTCTTGTTAGGTCAGTTGCACAAACAGGAAAATGGAAATGAATACAAGTTCCTTGAAATGCGTACGAATCGCAACATATTACAACAGCACTGTGGTTAGGGCATGGCAAGGTCAGTCATGCCAGATGGTTGCAAACAGTTTCATATCTATACAAGTTGTTTTTGTCGCTCAGATGCTATGTAACTACTAAATGCCTGAATATAAATTTAGTATCGTGCTTCCACAAAATTGTATGCAATTTATTTTTGATGAAACGTTTGCTTCATTAATCACACAAGGTTTGATCTATTTTTTGTAAAATAAACCTAATGCGGTGCTGCGTAATTTCCCAAATGGAATGTACTCAGCATATTGGCAGATTGACATTGACAAACCTGTTGTGTGATCATTATTCTTGCATGTTATATATTTGCATATGACAAAATTACCTGTAATTTGCCCGATTTCTTCAGATCTCAGGTCAGCTAATTTTAGCCTGGGCAGTACTTTAACGGGCAACCACCACACACAACAGGTTGTAAGATGGAAATATAGTACAGCAGAATCCATTGTTGGTCCTCTATGTTCCCCGTGTCTTATTCACCAATCCGCACAGACCAGCATCGTTAAATAACGTCGATGGCCCGCACAGCGTAGGGAGGTCCTCATCTAGGAGTGGACTGAGAAAGAGCTGTACGTATGACTTTAATTTTCTCAACCCATGTTTATACAACTGTTACTGGACACTTTCCAACTGTATCCACTGAACGTGCTTTTAACTGATATAATCAAAATAAATGTCACTCGAATGCCATCATATGAAACGCCCTTTCTACATCCGCCAGCTCTACAGGAATATGCTACATTAAGGAACATGTACTTCGTTGATTAATAGTTTTTCACTTTTAAGGATACAACTTGGCAGTCTTCACGACATTACTATAGATAAGATCTACAAGCATTTGCACAATATTTGACAAACGGATATATTTCTGATGGGCCATACAGGGAATACTTGTTTCACTTAATGATTCGAGAAAAAAACAAGTCTGGGATTTGCAGTGTTCATAAGCGATACCCCAAGTACCCCAAATGTAGTAATTGTAGGGAAAACTAAATGACCAAATTTAATGCAAAATCGTGTTAAGTACCGAGGCCTATGAATCACCCAGAATTCACCCAAGTCATATCTCAGAAGCTAAGCATGGTTGAGCCTGGAAAGTGCTTTGATTGATGCCCACCATGTGCAAGAGATTGGTGTAATAAGCATTATGGGCAGCAGAGAGTCATGAAGACAAATCCATAGTTGTACTGCACTCCAGCCATCTTCGACTAAGCCACACGAACCAGCGTGGTGAAGTATGGTAAAATATCCCTTACAACCCGCATCCAGCAGTGGACTGGCAACACAGACTGTAGATGTACATGCACTTGCAGAGACAAAAAACTCTTAACTTCCAACAATGACCCCAGAACACTCTATAAGAACAAGATGGCAATGAGCCCGAGCAAATAATCGAAACTACAATTGCAGGAAATACTTTTAACTCTTCTTTCAGCACACTTAAAGCATATATAGTAGAAGAATGCACATAGCGCAGCATTAACCAGCATCGCTGCCCCATTACGTAAACCACAAATTGGCTTGGAAGCTGGGGATGGGTAGGAATGTATGTATGATAAAAACCATCTGGTAGGGAATGCATGTTAAAGTTTGAGTTGACAACCTCTTACGGGAATATTAACAGGGGTAGCAGTGAATGCTGTGTAGTGTGTACTTTTTTATTTTACTTTCACATTACACTTATTATCATCCATTTCTAGATATCCCACTAAAATGAGCAATTAGGAAACAGTTTCATTTGGAAGCCTATATACGCCTTCAACAAATCTCAATCCACTTATCAAGTTCATGAACATTACCCTGATGCACATAGACATGGCGCCATCGCTTCGACAATATTCAATTACTTGTTGAGAATAAAGCTAATTAGAAATCACTGGGGTATATAAAAAATGGATCACCCTGCATGGCACAGAACCGAAATGTTTCACTGGCAAAGAAGATGTGTGCCCTCTACTGGGGGTAAGCGAGTAGAGGCGGTGAATGTTTCGGTTTAATGCGAAAACGCCAAAACATTTCTCACAAAAAACAGCCACCAACATCTCAAAGAGAGACACGAGCCAAAGCTCAATGGATGAAAATTAAGTGCCTCCCTTGCCAATATGCATGCTCGTAGGCTGGCTGGGTCACAAGACCAAATTGATTTAAAGGTGTTCAACTGTAACTATGAATGTTTAATTTCATTTCAAAAATTAAAAACTTTTAACAAGTGCACGCCTTTGATCATTTTTATTTCCACAGTAAAACTGTTAACGTTAGCATAATAAATTGATACAATCGTGTTATATTTCACCATTACACACAGACAACTAATATTTTTTGTCTCGAATGGCCACATTTTTGTTCCAAGTTCGCACAATTCTTCAACACATTGTGTTGTATAATGCCCTTATTCAGTAATGTAGTACATCGTAAATCATCTCAAATGTTGCATTGATTGTATACATATATACAGTACTAGGATGGACATAAAAAAGAAAGAATTCCAAATCATATTTTCTTATGAAGTACAAATCAGAAACAATGTTTTCTAATTGGTCACAGTCCTGATTCCTGGTCCACATATGTGCAAATATGTCAACAGATAATTAATATTATTTATTTTTTACCTATGTGACTTTACCCGAAAAAATCCTAAGAGTATGAATCTCCTTGCAGTCACGAAAGCTTCAAATCTAGAATTAATATGGATTGTGTCAAACAATTCTGAAAAAAACCTTTTACAGTATTCCATTAAAAGTACAATTGTGGTGCAATATTCCTTTCTTAAACATTTCACTACATTCCAAGATATTCCACTGTGCTGAGGTGACTCGTACAGCATCATTGCCAATCCCAGTTTTTTTAACGGAGGACAGAGAAGAATTGGGTGTAAGTTGATTTGAAAGCCGACTGACCAAATAAAGATTCTGACAGACGCCGGTTTAACTTAGAACAGCAATAGGACAGACACCACCCCCTTCTGGTAATAAGCGCACAGCAGAAACATTTTCCACAAGTCATTACAGAGCTCACAAATTTTGACTTAAAGCTTTCGTGACTGCAGGAATTCATATTGTTTGGGTCTTTCGGTCAAATCACGTAAATAGGTTCAAAGAAAATAACAAAAAAAACGCTTGTGTTGCGGTCGAAACATCGTAGTTTTTTGTTATTTTCTTTGACCCTATCTACGTGACTTTACCGAAAGACCCAAAGAATACAGAGCTCCTTTTACAGTAATATAGACATTTAATTAAAATCAGTCTTGTAAAACATGACCCACTCCAAAGGGTTAACATTATGGCATTCAATAGAAGTATTGCTTTTGCATTGATTTCTCTGCCAATGGCAACACAGTACCACAGTAAAAGCCATGACGCCGACCGTAGACTTGCTGCTCCCCCTTCTTCCACGGTGGAAGAATCCACCACGTTACTTGTGTTGCTCCATGTTTTGCCGTCTGATGAGCTCCGCATAAAGGCCCCCTTTCTTCAGTAACTCAGCATGGGTGCCCATCTGTCAGTTACAAGACACAGTCACGTTTATTTCACTGCAATTAAGTATCTACTTGAGACTATCACAGGGCAATGCAACTCCACATTCGAGAGAAGTAGATATCAAGTGACATTTTTAATCCAAACACATAAGGGATGCACTGTACCATACACCCTGCAATAGAAATAATCATCTGTTACATGACATTTTAACCAATAAATAAACATTTTCAGAGTTGGAGTATTCAGTTAAAAACTAAATTTCAAGTGATTATTTCTTTATATACATTGGGAACTGCGCCGAAACCGTCAACTCACTACACTTGAAAACTCTGTTACATTGCTGACCCTTAATTCAAATGTATGAGCTCAGCGGTGTCAGCTCAGCCCTCCGACCCCCTGAACGACCTGACCTCTCCTCCAAGTGTTCTCATTTTGGAAAGAGACGGGACACGAGCGAGACGGCCTCCTCCTCACCTCCTGCACCGTTCCACCGGCCACCACGCAGATGAGGTTGGCGCCAGCGACGGTGCTGAGGCGGTGCGCAATGACAAGCACGGTGCGGCCGTGCGCGGCACGCTCCAGCGCCTCCTGCACGGCGCCCTCGGCTTCGGCGTCCAGCGCGCTCGTTGCCTCGTCTAGCACCAGCACCGCGGGCTGCTTGATGAGCGCGCGCGCGATCGCCACCCGCTGCTTCTGCCCGCCCGAGAGCGTGGCGCCGCGCTCGCCTGAGAGTGGCACCGCCGCAAAACGATGGCTCGTGAGCACAATTTAGAGGAAGAGACATTTCAAGGAATGAACGGCCCTCATCTTATAGATACGTAACCTAAGCAGTGGGCTGTCCAACATGGGCTTGAGGCTTCGTTTATCAGAAGATACTTTGTAGTCGCGACATGGCCTAGCACGTTTGACACATGTTGAAGAAGTTCGAGGTTTGAGGCGAATACTGCGGATGTAATTATACATACTCGGGCTCTACATCACTGACGGACGAAGGCCACCCCATGGCATGTCGGTCATAGTCATGGGGGTTGTTTGGCCATATTTTACCATGCTAAAGTTCTTGTCATTAACCCTCCACCTCCTGATAATATTGTCACGTACACAAAGTGGTTATATGTGCCCATGTATTGATAACATTCCAACCAATGAAGTTGGACTATTCACTCAAACTGCTTTCAGCTTTAGCATGAAACAACCATGGGGCCTAACTACAAAACAAATACGGATATTTGTACAATATTGCCGAAGAAAGCCTATGTTTTAAATTCACCATGCTATCAGTGCGAGTGGTTGAATAGGGGAGGCCTCGGACTGGTTCAGATATAATGCACCACGGATGTCAGCCATGGTCGTGAATTGAACTTTGGTCACTGGGCACGTAGCCTGGTGCGCTAACCACTGTATCACCGCTCCAAGACCAGAACAATAATACCATGGAAGCAGGCCAGATCTTTACATGTGGCAAATTCGCAGCTTTCTCACCAACAACAGTGTTGTATCCATCAGGGAAGCTCCTGATGAAATCGTCGGCATTCGCGAGCCGAGCTGCAGCATAAACCTCATCGTCTGTGGCTCCGGGCTTCCCAAAGCGAATGTTCTCAATGATGGTCGTGCCGAACAGCACAGGCTCCTAAAGGGTGAGACATGCAAGACGATGGTCAGTCTGCTACTCTGTCAAACAGCACAGGCGGGATTAACAGTGTGCCAAACAGCAGAGGCTCATGGAAAGCAAGACACACAGGACCATAGATCTGCTGCTATAGGCTCACAAAACTTATGTCACTTTGCACACATTAAGAGTTACAGCAAGCTGCATCAATCAGGCATGTTATTATTTAATCCCCCACTACCGATTTTATGTACTGCCACAATCTGGGGGTCACGATTTGATTTTTAAAAAAATATTTAACTATACTGTCTTAATTGTACAGTCTAACCTAGACTGTCATACACTGTAGTGCCTGCATCCTTTGTATGCAACATTTCATCTGGTGTTTTGCTTTTATTGTTTAATTCTACTGTCTCTACGGTCTGATTGTGTGCTGCTGATACTGTATCATTTGTACAGTCTCATTTATTTACCATGTCTCATTTGTTCTGTTTGTCTTGCCAAATTTGCACAGTCCGGTTTATACATGAGCAGTCTCGATTATTGATATCTTTAGCATAAAGGTAAATTCAGCAACAATGTGCATTTTAATCAATGAACCATTGCACACTTACTGTGGTGTAAATAGCCAATAATGACCTATCAGTTACATCATGGGACCTCCTTTGCCAGTACCAAAATATGAGAATAGGTTTTCCCCTTGTTTCTGGCAACAAAACAGGTGTTAAGATGTTAAAACACCAAACTGAAACCTTTTACAAGGAATCATGTCTGCATTAACCACAATACTTGTGGTCAGAATAACATCTTAACACCTGTTTTGTTGCCAGAAACAAGGAGGAAAACTATTCTCATACCTATCAGTTATTGGTGCAGAATAAATAACAATGATGTGAATATCCCACTTAACTAAGATGGAGAAAACATGCCTAAGAGGCCAACTGCCGTGTAGACAGAGCAATAAGATCAGTTCATAAGCAGGAGTGAGATTGATGGTATCTGCACTGGACCAGGAGAGATTGCGATGGTGTGGGGAGCCCTTGACGCATGACGATGAATGTCCCAGCATGCATTCATCATATCTATCCCTGGAAACTGTGGTTATATTTGTGTTGCCGTTACTTGGTTGATGAAGCCGATAACTCGGCCCCGTAACCAGGAGGGGTCCAGAGTGCGAAGGTCCTTCCCGTCCAGCGTGATCGAACCACTCGCTGGGTCGTAAAACCGCTCCAGAAGCGCCGCGACTGTCGACTTTCCTACGGTCAACGCACAAACATCACAACAATTGGCTTCGTCAAAAAATAGCGGCGATGGGAGATTCAGTACCTCAATTATTTTTAGTTGTTTTATTTCAGCCAAAATGCACACATGCGAGCACTGCGTTGATCACTCACCTCCTCCAGACAACCCCACAATGGCAATAGTCTGGGAGGGAGGAAGGTTCAGGTTGAAATTGCGCAGGACCACCTGCCCTGGCCGTGTTGGGTAGCTGTGTTCATCGCACGTAGGATGCAACAAAATCCCAAAACATTTAAGTCACACACCGTAATTTGAGGTGTGCAAGGCAGTAAACACGGGGCGCAAGAACACGCATGCGTGTGGGTGGAAGTACAAACCTGAACGTGACGTTGTTGAAGCGCACGTGACCGAGGAGGGAGTGGTGGGGAATGATGCCGCCACCTCGGACTGGGATGGAGGGCTCCAGCTCCATGTACTCAAACAAACGAGCGCCTGCGCTGAGCCCCCGCACCATCTTCCAACAAATAGCCACATAAGCCCATCACACGATGATGGTACCACAATGACCAAAACATGCTTGACTCCTTTTAAAGGTCAGAGCACTGAGTTGGCACAGGAGAGATCCTCCCTTCACATTAATTAAAGCAGGTTTCAAGTGTAGCGAGTTTGAGGTCTCAGCTTGATCACTAATCACTGCAAATAGCCATCATATTATAATTGGGTCTGCAATTCATTTAGCTACATTTCAGCTGTGAGAATGAAAAATGTTCCTGTGACTGTCATGCAACAAATATTGATCTCTTTAACAGGGTGCATAGGAAAGTGCTTCCCCCTACTGTGTGAAACATTGGTTATGAAGTACCGGTGAGGACGCTTGACGCCGAGGTTGAGGCACACGTATGTTTATTCACAATATGACAGTGGGCATATACACACTCGAGGGGGTATCGGCCCCCTCACCCGTATAACTCGGGATACACCCCTAGCTAACTCTGTCCTAGCCCCGAATCCTCCACTAATGAGCTAGGGGAGGCTAACTGGCCCGACACTGGTAAGTCGGGCCCGGTACCCGGAGTTCCAGACCAGCTCTTACAAGAGCACCGGCTCTGGCTTTCGGGACCACGCCGCTGGCTCAGTCCTGTCCGGCCCTGAAAAGGACATCGAACCAGGGGAGTCCAGGGCTCTATCTAAGACGTCTTCAATCTTCTTCCCTTAGCTTAAACATAACTGCCTTGAGCCCTTTGAACATCCCCTTTTATACCCAACCCCTCCCTGAGGGGTGGGGCCCCGGGGGATCATAACGTTCGAACCAGCCCCCCCCAGGGTGTCTGGCTCGGACGTCGTAGAGGGCACTTGCTCGTGCACTTACGTAGCCCCGCCCACTGTGTTTGTTTTCCATAGGCTGCCATGCATAACGGGCCCTCTCTTTAACACCCCTACAGTTATTTGAAGATATCACACAGGCAAATACTTTGTCTCATGCCACAACGCTGATAGCAAAATTGTGATACTTTTTTTTAAAATAAAAAAAACAAATGTTATGTTGACACATACCTGTCCAAAGAGAATGGATACGCTAGCCATTGACCTGCAAATAGAACAATCTATTTAGCAAAGGGGGTTGAAGTAAATACTATATCACTCTACCAAAAGGTAAATGCATTAATCACTTAAAACTTTCGTGACTGCAGGAATTCATATTCTTTGGTTCTTTTGGTAAAGTCACGTAGATAGAAAAATAAAAATTAAGTGAATACAATTTTAAATATTAACATTGACAGAAAAAATGTCTACATCTGATTGGGAACATGTAGATAACATGTCAGCTAAATGTAAAGATGACCTGATTTCCAAGTTCAACCTCCTTTCCAAGAAGAAACCAGATCCACACGTTAAAAAGTTAGATGTTGTCAAGGTTGTTATTAATCTGAGTAATAGTCCAATTTCTGATGGTCTAAAGTCGTTTTTGGCTAAAAGGTTGAACTTCACCAGTGGATGACATTATTGCCCAGGTCTATGTAGCTCTTAAGGGTTTGGGACACATCGCTGCAGACGTATTGTAATTATATAATAGATTAGTAATCAGTTAATTGTTATTAGTAATCAGTTGTCGATTAGTAATTCGTTGTAATGTGTATTATTTAATAACTGAACCCAATCACTATACCCAATCAAGTACATAAATCAGAGGTGGCCGAGGGGAGGGGGTTATTGTAATTATATACGTTAGTAATACGTTAATTAGTATGTGTTTCCCCTATAATTATTTAACCGGTTTAGCTAAAATAGCGATTTATTTAAATATTTTTTAATTCTCTTTTTTTGTTTTTTACAATTTTTCTATCTACGTGACTTTACCGAAAGAACCATGCATTAATCACAACTGTGAAAAATATCGATAAAAAATATAAAGAGATCACAAGGTACCGTTGCACAGTCTGGGAAGCAACCAAAAACGACATGAGTTCTCCAGCAGAGAGCTCCTCTCCAGCCATGAGTGAGCCACCAACAAAAATGGTGCCCAGTACAATGCCTGATGAAGCATTGAAGTTTTACAAAGTGTGTTATTGAAAAAAAAACATCAGTGGTGCAAAAAATATATGCTTTGCATAACAGTATGTAAGTTAAACTTATTTCGCACCATATGTAGCCAATCCCCCAACACCAATTGTCTGGTGTGCTATAATTTACTCACAATTAAGAACAATATTGGAGAGGCCTTGAAATATTGCTATTCCAATCCCTAAATTCTCATTCATTTTGCACGATTTATCCACTTCAACTGCATACTGCCTACAAAGACAAATGGAGACAAGTGAGCATATGACATTTGAAGATGGTTTGAAAAGTGTTAATGCTGAGTAACAAACAGAAAGCCTTACTCAGACTTGCTATCTTCCATAGCAAAGGCTCTCACAGTCCGCACATTGCCCAAGGTTTCATCTGCTACTCCAGTTGCCTGGGAAATCTGCAACACAGTAGATGAAAATTACCTGTATGCAGATAATAACATGTACTGCCATTTTAGTGCATACAAAGAACAGGAGGTAAAAGAGCAATGTGCATGCATAATGTACGTTGATTACCATACGAATAACCCACCCGGCAATGGATACCCATTGTCATTTATATGCATTCATTCATCGCACGTGAAGGGCTTACACATTTTGCTGTCCGTCTGATGATGCTTGTTGTAATTACTGGCGAAACGTCATACTCAGATTATAAATGTTGTGGATTTGCTCTCCAACACACTGGTGAGCTGTACTCGTAACGAATTGGCATGTTCTGTTTACGTGACAAACCTTACTAATTGCCTGTGTCAGGTGGTGGCGGGTTTAACGACACATTTATATTACCGCGATCTAACCCAAAAAACCTAAATTATGAAGAGTACAAGAAACATGCAAGAATTTGCAGCTACAAACAATAAAAAACACCATCACTTATTATATTTACAAACACTAATACAATTTAAATGCATGTGTGTATCTTCTGACTGTCACCACGCTCACAGACCGATAGGGGGCAGCCGGGAGAGTGAGCGGGAGGTGTAGTGGTTAACCTAAGGAACCCCCCCCCCCCCCCCCCGGGTGCCCCGTGACTGGAGGTAGAGACCCCAGACCCCCAAGGGGTGGAGGCTGAGGGCTGACGGTTCATTCCTGACCCTTCGAGATCCCTCTGGAAGGTTCGAGGGAAGGTGTGGCGAAGGGCGGGGTAAGCCTCAACTTGTGTATAAAAGCCGGTCCTCTCAACGGGACCGGCAGTGTTCATCCACTCAAGACTCGAAGACATCAGAAGACTAGACCAGCACCCTGAGACCCTCAACCGAGGCTCTTGTAAGAGCCGGGTTGTAGCGGACCAGCGGTGGGACCCGTACCCTGGCTAGGTCGGGTCAGTCAAGCCTCCCCGAGCTCTCGTAGCGGAGGACTCATGAGGGCGTAGTCCGGAGTCTGTAGGGCCAGCTAGAAGGGAGGCTGTACCTCCCTTAGGTTATTGGGTGAAGGGGCCTTACCCCTTAGTGTTACAGCTATTGTTCTAGTTTATCTGAAATAAACGCGTTGCCTCTAAGAAGACGTCTCCCCGAAGTTTTTGCCCACAACACGTGTATTTATGGAGTAGAGCCTCACTAAGCTTCAAGACTCTTATAGGTTAGATGCGAGCATCACACTGCTCAGAATCCCAGCAAGGAATATAGGAAGAACACAAACTCAAATGTATGCGAAGCACCATATTTTAAAATGTGTATTTAATCTTTTGTAAATATATTTTGTTAATACAAACCTGTTCTTGTGCTCGCCTGGAGAGTTTACGCAGGAATGAACCAATTAAAGCTCCACCACCAACCATGGCTGTCATCACCACCACCATCAAGCCCGTGAGCTTGGGGGATATCAGATACAATGAGGCCACACAGCCAACAGTCTGCGTCACACTGCGGAGACCCTATAGGAGACAGAGATGCAACAGAGAGCATTACATCAACAGTACACATGAGTCCCATAAAACTGCAACTAGAAAGTAAGACAAGTCATGAATGCAAAAGTACAATTAAGCAGACTTTACTTGGGAAATGACAAGTTTGAAGGATGACTTAAACTCTTGGACATCCGAGGTCAGTCGGTTTACTAGGTGGCCTGTCCGGTTAGCATCGAAAAATGCCACGTCCTGCCTGCAAAATCAAACATTCGCTCCTTCAAAACCTTTAAGAAATGAGATATGACAAACATAATACAATAGTGTTGCTCGAAAAGTAATTCCTGAAATCAATGATGAAAATGTTCACGTTACGAGCGTGGCGTACATAAAACGTGGTCATTGAAACATTGGTGATATAGCAGTGGCTGTAGTGTATGCATTAAAATGTTAATCACAGGTGTCCAAAACAAAAAGTAACATTGTGACAGACAGCTTATGTTAACAATAAGTAAATAGATAAACAAACACACCTGATAAGTGCCTCAAATAGGCTTTTCCTCATAGAGGCTGCAATCCTCTCACCAACTTGGGAGAGCAATGCAATGTATCCAAAGGTCAGTGCTCCCTATATGCAAACAAACATGAATCTGTCAAATAAAGGGACTGCAAACAACATTTCCTGACAAAGTATAATTAGAAACATTACACAAATTTGAATATAGAGTGAATATATCATCTAACCAACTGCACGGCATTTTGTACACAAGTGCAGAGCCGATAACGTTTTATTACCAAATGTATATCCCGATTGTTGCTAATACAATTGAAGTATTTACCTGGAAGCCGTACATGACCAAAAGGCGAGTGGCTGGCACCCTCATGTCTGCGAGGTAGTCCCCTGCTTGCTCTTGCACGTAACGAGACACCACGTTCACCAGCTCCCCCAGCAGCATGGGGATCTTAATGTTCAAAATGGCAGCACCAAATGCCAGCTGAAATAAAACATAAACATTATTAAAATCAAATAATAATAGAATACGACGTTTCGGTTGCAACACAAGCAACCATCGTCAGGTAAGCATGAATGATAAAACTTTACCGAAAGGAACCAAAGAGTAATTCCTGCAGTCACGAAAGCTTTGAATCTAGTATAAACATTATTCTCAATGTATTGAAATGTTTAATTCCTATTGCAAAACGAGTACATGAATGACATTGCTAATAACATATTTTCCTTCTTTTGTGTTCAATCTGTTCACCACTAACAGCTGAAGTCCTCTCATCCTTTTTCCGATGTTGGCACATAATGGTTTAGTTTAGAAAATTAATGTTCAAGTTGGCTTGGGGCACTTCACTTCATTATAAGGAAATAATTAGCAATACATATTTAGCAAAACTACTCATATTCTTAGGTTTTTTTTTCGGTAAAGTGACTTTACCGAAAAAACCTAAGAATATGAATCCTTGCAGTCACGAAAGCTTCAAAACTACTCACCACAACAGCTAAAGCCAATGCCAGTATCTCCTTATTCAAGAACTTCCAGAAGAGTTTCCACTTGAAGGATGGCTCGCTGTTGTTCTTGACATGTATGTTGCTCTTGTTATTGTTAATGTCCACATCACAGTGAACTTTGCTACCACATAGTCTCAGCCCCACTACAAGCGAAGCACTCCCAGTGAAAAACACGGCCCGATAGGAAGATGATACGGCAGAGCGCCCGGCAGCTCTGCCCACTCTGGCCACACTTGTCCCCACCAATCGGCTCCAGGTGCGTATGGCACTGTCCAACGTGCCATTCTTGCCTAAGGCAGAGGAGCTCAGAGGCCATCTGAAAAGCGAGTTGTGGGACAACACAGCAAATTAGTACATTCACGTGTGTTTATTTAAGTGCAAAGGCATGCAAGTTATGTCAATAATAAATGGCAGATGGTCAACAATAGTCAAGTGGCAGCCAAGGAATGGAATGCATCCACGAGAAAATGAAGTGATGAAATCAGTGTGTGTGCAGGTGTTAGGTGGATTATTGTATCACTGAAGAGTGGGAGATGGAGACGTCTTAGGGAGACATCCATCCGGAATTAGATTGATGACCATGACCTTTATTTATCAACATGTAAGGGGCCATTGAGAACAAGTCTTTTTAAAAGAGCTGCCTCTTAAAATAGCAAAATAAATACAAGTTCAAATCATGTATTAGTTGCTAAATACCACGAGAAAACGCCAAAATAAAGAGCAATTAAAACAATTATGTTGATATGAATTGTTGCAAATTTGGATTCCATTCTACCAGTGTTGAAGCATTGGGCTGAAAGCTCTCTTTTAACCTACTCGACCTCAACATCGGCACGGAGTGGCTGTTCCTGGTGCTGAAAGGGAGCACTTTTGAGCAACTAAATTGGGTAACGCATCCTAGCGAGCGTACAAGGGCACACACAGTTCCATTGTTGCTGAAACGCCATTTACGTTATTACCAGTTGTGACAAAACGGAGTGCTTTCGCAAGTCTTAATTCGCTCTCCATTAACATGGGCAGTGCCATGGCTTAGTGGTCGCGCATTTGCGGAAGATAACGATTCTATTCCAGCGGCCGCCCTGGTTATTACTGCGGGTATTGACCATAAAAAATGCGCACAATCTGCTTCACGGTGGACGTTAATAATCCCATGATGTTATTCGCAAAAGTAGGCAATTGTGTGCTGGCGTCATGGTCCAAGTTAAAAAAAAAAAACTCGCAAATTACTCAATCGGAATTATGCACAGCAATCATCGCAAAAAATTGGCAGGGACTTCCTGAAAATGAGTCATGAGGCTCAATGGGACTTTTGTAGGTAAACAAAAGCATTATAAAACATAAACGTCAAGCCATACATCTTTGCGCTGTGGCTAATTCTACAACAGATTTAAACGACTGCCTAGGGGTGAAGGGAGGGACACACATCTCACCTGTGAGCGACAGCGCCTCCTCGGGCTCTCAGCTGTGCGGCCCCGCGAAGGGTGGAGACGCTCGAGCGCAAAGTTGCTGTCAAAAGGTACATCGCGTCCGCTGGAGCCCAATTAAACCTTTACCGATGACATTGGCAGGACAGTAATAGAGTGACACTACCCTGGTTTCAGTGACCCCTTCAAGTGCTCCAATGATGTGCTTCCAAGCCTATTGGGACCCAGTCCAACAACCTCACGCACTAAACTTTCAGTCTCTGGTACGTTAACAATAAAACAAACCACCCCACACAACTACAAAACAAGTTTTAAACTTCAGCCGTCATTCGCCACCGAGGCGACGGTGTGTGTGCCACCACTGCCAGCGGCTTTGTGCACTTCAACGAGTGCACACGTTTCGAACACATACACACGCTGCACGCGTACGGCGTCTAAATAAACAAGAGAGAGATCTCAGCAAACACAGCAGCGGCAATAACTCCTCTACCGACCTCACCGGGCGCACGTGGGCGCGGCCATGTTTCGCGTCAGTGAGGGGTGGAGGTAGCCGGCGATGGACGTCACGTCCGGTACGAGGGGGTTGGGGTCGCCGGCGATGTGCGTCACGTCCGGTATGGTCGGGGTTGATTAAAGAGTTGATTAATTTGTTTTCATATTCTTTGTGTCTTTCGGTAAAGCCACATACTGTAGATAGAAAAATAATAAAACAAATATCACGAAGTTTCAAACGCAACACAAGCAATCGTCATCAGGTGAAAAAAAAATATCGCGGGAGAGCTGCTGAAGCAGGATGTTATGGACGTTATTTCGGTCTTGTTGTGGCGGAAATCGCGCGCGCGCGTGGTGACGTCACGTCCGGCGTTGTGACGTCACGGAGGGGGGGGGCGGGGCTCTCCGCGGCAGTTCGCGGCCGTCTGTTTACGGGCCGCTCGCTGCTCGGCGGCTTCGGCGGCTTCTCGCAATTCTCCTCACGTTTAAATAACTAAAAAAATAACAACACACGAGAAGCCAATTTAGACGGACTCCTAATGCGTTTTGAAACAACGGTTATGTGCGTTTAGAGTCATTGATGAAGCCGAGTAGTGTCGTCGAAGGGAGGGAGAGAGAGAGGCTGCTGCTGCCGCGGTGTGTTTTTTGACAGCGGGACGCCGTGTTGGGGGAGGGGGGCGGGGCTACCGCGACGACCGTCATCGGCCGCCGAGGAATCGCGAGCGCTCGCCTCGTTGTTTAGTGCGGAGCGCGCGTGGTGCTGGTGACGGTGGTGGTGGTGACGGTCGTGGTGACGGTGGTGACGGTGGTGGTGGTGGTGACGGTGGTGGTGGTGGTGGTGGTGACGGTGGTGGTGGTGGTGGTGGTGACGGTGGTTGGTGGTGGTGACGGTGGTGGTGGTGGTGACGGTGGTGGTGGCCTCACCGGCTTAAGCTGCGGGGAGAGGGTTGAGTTCTAGTGGCTGTGAGTTTGTTCGTCTCCGGGTTTTTTTCGGCTCCGTGTTGTTTTTGTCGTCAGCGGTTCTGCGAGCAAGTCAACTCCATGGCCGTGGGCTGACCCAGGTGAGTCGCGTCTCTATGCTGGTACAGGAATTCATTTGGCGAGGTCTCTTTAACGGGGTGATGACATAGGAAGGTTGCTGGCGGTGTCCCCTATTTGACCAGGGTGAGAGATATATTCATTGACGGGGACCTGTCGATATCTCTCACTCGCAACAGATGTTCGTCTTGGCTGGTTACGAACTTGGGTTTCAGGGCTCACAGGACATTGTGTTCACCATCGCCACACCGCTCAACTCCTGCCATCCTCCTCCCCCCCATCGTTTGTGGTCCTGTTTTTAAGCAGATAAGAGGGATGAGGAAGGGGTATTACACACAGTCTTTAATTCAACCAGTTGTTGAGAGGTAAATCCTAACGCTTGTCTAACCAGGTGTGAGGTGGGATATTGATGGCGCTTTCCTAACGTAGTTTATAGAGGACAGCTTAGGCCCTTTTTTAATTGTGTGAGGGAATACATCTGTCATGGCATTCGTCTGATCCTATGAGCGTTAAGGCCCGGAGACATATGTCTTAGCAAGCTGAGCGGTAGAACCAATTGGTTCTGGTAATCGTAGACTTAATTGATATGTATTGTGCATTGTTCATGTGTAACTGTGTGGCAGGGGAGGCAAAGATGCCATTTGTCTTACCAGACGAGAGGGGTTTTGTTTATGGCTCTCTTTGTTTGACAAAGACGCAATCCCACAAATTGTTTTCATTCCGTAGATGTGTATTTAGGCTATGTGTCGTAGACTGACACAAATGTGAAGCTTTGTTTAAAAAAAAAACACACCCAACGTATTGTCTGTTGTGGTGCCATGAGGTTATCGTGCAATTTCAGTTATGTACAGTATATGGGAGTGACGTTGCATTGTCATGATTATCGTGCTATGAAAGCACATGTGACGTAATTTTCCATAGCAAACCTTCAAATGCGTATCTGGCAGCCCACAACACACATCCTAGGTAGACATCTACAAGCTAAGAGCTGGTTGGTGTGTTGTGTTTGCCTCGAAGGAGGTAAGGTTTGTGAAACATTTACTCTCTAGGCCTTTGTTCATGTGAGTGTTGGGTGGCACACACTGGCCCAGCTCGCCACTATCCTTTCACCGGGAAAGAGAGCCCATTGATGTGGTCACCCTTGTAAGGGAGACCTGCGTGACTTGTTAGGCAGGGAGATTTGTGTGAATCTGTATAGCGTAGCTATTAGCCATCTGCTGTGCCCAAAAGCCGACACTGGCTGACTAAGCTTGTAAGCTAATTGTTATTGGCCGTGGCAGTGTCTCATTTCATTGGTCCCTCCAGCTGACGGCCAACACGACAGCGTAAAAATAAATTTAAAGACAAAATTGAAACTTGGCCAACGTTCGCCGAAGGGTCACGTTCAAGTTCAAAATCGTACAACTAACTAGCTCACTCTGACAGTACAGTATATGACAGACAGTGAGATGGCTGTATTGCTCTCGAGTCTTGGTTCGCTAAAATGTGGGCGTTGACCTGTAAAGGAAGCACGGCACTTTGGTATGCCTGCCAATGTCCGAATGGTCAAACAATTTTGACGGATTTGGGGTCATGGTAATGGGAACAGCTTCCTGTGGTTTCAGGTCTGCCCCCTGTCAGAAGGTTACTCTGGTAGCAGCTTTGACCAGCGACTCTCTTTTGTCACTGCATGCCCACTACGACTATTCTTAGTCACTGTAACAAACCGAAACAATGGACTTGTGGTCAACGTTTCCCCTTTTAAAAGTACAGTTTTTCTCATTGATAACTAGGAGAGTTTTTTCTTAGACAATAGTTGATGCTGGTAGATCTCAATCCCAACGTGTAATTCGTAAGGTCATGATGCTCAAATTCGTTTGTTGGAAAGGTTGACGTTTAGAAATGGACTGTGGCTGTCATGCAAACCTTGTACAGAAGAGGTGGAATCATCTTCTGAAGCGTCTGTCTCTTGTCTAGTGGCGTAAACACTGCAGAACAAAACGGCGCCTTCCTGTTTATATTCACACCCCATTATAGTGAGCAGTGTAAATGTGTGCTTTACACCAGGCTGGAAAACTGGAGAGCTGACATTTGAGTCATGCAGCGAATGTGAAAGCCATACCAGGGTTAATGGTTTTGTTGAGAGAGTATAAACGACCTTAAAAAGCATTTGTTATTACATGTACAGTATACAAAGTGTATATATTTACTTGCACAGTTTTGATGCCAATGAAGGATAATGCAAGACTGTATTCATGTTTAAAAAATTATATACATTTCTGTGCAGTTAAACATTTTAACAATGAATTATTTCGAATTTCAAATGTGGGCTTATTTACATAATGGGTTACACTACCAGGCAAGTTTGTCACGTTGCGGTGATTCATAACCTGCGAGTGGAGCAATGCCACAGTGTTTAACGCATTGTACAGTGCTATGAGTCCGGGTCAGTGTGGTTCCCTGCCTTGGCCAACAGTGGCGAGAGAGAGTTGAACTGTGCCTGACCCCCGCTTCACCAAATTGCTCTGACAATCGTGATGAAGTATGGTAAAATAACCCCCATGAATGACACATCCGTAGCGGCCTTCATCCAGCATCTAATTGTATTTCATCCTTCATTGGGCCCTGTCACGCCAAAATCGGGTTGCTGTTTGTGGAGTTTCTGTTTCCCAGCCGTTCCGTGATCGGCGTCTTGTAATAAAAATACAAAAAAACATATTAATCGTAAGATGAAGTGAACAAAAATTATTCAGAAAATAAGTTTATCAGCATTCCACCTAATACATCTGATAAATGATCGGTTTGTTGGTAAAAAATAACCAGGGTATGGAATCATGTTTATTTTGTTTGTTATAAATGTAAGATGTTTCCATACATTTTCAAATGTATAACTTGTGGAGTTTTTAAAATTTGGGATATTAATAGCACATGAGCTAAAAAAGTTTAATATGGCATGTAGAGCAAATTTAATATGTAAATATGTAGTATTTTTTTCCGCCTCTTGTCATTCCATTTCTGAATGAAGACCTCCCCCACACCTTGTGTCGGTCATAGGGTTGTTTCACCCATACTTCGTCATGCTCGTTTCTGCGGATTAGTGAAGGAGGCCCTGAGTACCGGTTCATATATCACCTCGCCACTGTGGCCAAGAATCTAACTCGGGTTCGCGGGTTCAGAACGCATTGTACTAACTATTGTAAGTTGGTATGTAAAGCATATCATAAATATATATAAAAGCATCTATTAAATGAGGTAAACATGTCATACCAAAATAGCAATGCAGTAATGGAATATGAGCGATATTAATATGTGCAGGGTTATGCACCGACCGGCATCTGCTGTAGACATGTAAAGACGCGCTGATCGACCCAGACAGAGATGGCGGAAGCAGAGACAGCCTATCGCAGGCTGGACTCTTACGATGATGAAGAGTCCCCGAACCATGAGCGGGAGGTTCTCGTGCACGTTCCCGAGGGCAGCAAAGGTACACGTGTTTCAGTCACTGTTGAATTACCGAACTGAATTAAGTTAATGCTTTGTTTTAACTTGAAACTGTTTTTTAACTTGAAACAGTTTTTAAACTTGAAAGGAATGAGAGATGTAAAATACTTACAAACATGTGTCCTGGCTTGCTGCCTCGTTTGCACTGTCCTTAGAATTATGGCTCAAATTGTATTGTAAAGTTAACATTTTTGAGAAATGTGTGAGCTGTATATTACAGTGCACATAATAGACGATGCCAAGAGATGCACCATTTGGTGATATGACTAACTAGATAAAACACATGTCATACAAAACCCGAGCTTACTAAGTGTTTTGAAGTTACATTTTCAGATTGTATTCATCATTTTTTACTTCAAAGTATAAAACTGTAGTCATGTGGTTTCTTGTGCCCCTGAAGGTCAACATGTGTTTTTTTGTCACTGCTGCTTGTTCATCTGCAAGGATTAAAAGCCCCATAATGATATGCGGTACAAACATAACGAGAATATCACCCTGAATGTTGTAGCTTACGATAAACATTGTTACGTACCCTGATGTCATTTAGAAAGCTATTGATTTAATGGAGATATGTACAGTAGCTTTGCTTACATGGAACATTGGGTTCTTAAGAAAATATTTTTAAAAGTGATGCGTGTCATGTGAGTGGTGTCCTGTTATGTGCTATTTTAAGGGAGTAATCTATAAGGAGGTGACTTTGTAAACGGCATGGTAGGGAAATTTTTGTAACTGTTATACATTTAGATTTTAATGCAGGTGTCCCTCGCATAAAGCGTGACATGCATTCCTGAAAAACAGCACGTTAATTAAATCGCGCTGGATGAAGCCTATTTTTCTATGTGAAAACGGGGGGATGGGGGGGGTGTTACTTTACCAAAAGCATCATTTAATGATTTTACCCCTGGATTTACCAAGCACGTATACATTGCATACATAATAATAACATTAAAAAATACTTAATAAGGGGTTTATAACAAATAAATGAAATATGTTACTAATTATAAAGGTTACTGAACACTTCTGTGAGCTGCTTGCAGCAGCACACAATGCAAACAAAGTTAGCAGATTTAAAATGGCTATGCCCAGCCCGTGATGCGATGATGCCATCAGAAATATATATTTTTTACTTTGAAATGTTATAATTGAAAAGATGTATTTTTATATTAAATAAAAAAAAATTAGCGTATAACTATGAAACGCATCGCTTAAGTGTGTGAAGTATGACCCTAAAAGATGAATCGCATACCTGTGAATTTGCGCTATTGGGGAGTGTGTTACGCAAGGGATGCCTGTGTGGAAAATTATTGGTTTCTTTAAATAACTGCTTGTTTGGCTTTGTATTCATTGTCAATGTTCTAAAAGTCTATTTTTATTATTTCAGCCCGGTGGAACCACATTGAAAACTTGGACTACTTCTTCACAAGAATATCCTTTTTATGTAGCGGAATTCTAATATTGAAATGATTTTAATCTTTCAGGAATGGTGTCATGTAAGGATGATAGGACCATCAATCTTTTAGAATTTAATTTATTGATCGCTATTGCTTTGTCTTTTAATGGCATTAAAACCTTCTGGCAGCTGGGGATGTACATGTCAACTACCGGAAAACGAGGTCACATCCTCCTGTTATGACCCAGAAGGTCTGGTTTTCTGAACAACCTGTGCACTTGACAATTCCCACTTGTCTGCTGAATTAGAAACAAATACGGTGAATTGCAGTGTTACCATGAGGGCACTAGTGATTTGTATGTGTCGGCAGCGGTGGTGACTCCTTTATTAAAATACATTGAATCTGGAATTATATAGCATCTCAATGTAATTTGCATGGAGGTGAGAATTAACAAGCTGTTTGTTGCAATTGCAAAAAAAATATATACGTTGTCGCTAATGTAAATATTATGTAACTCATAATCATTTTCCTTAATGCCAGGCCAGTTTTCTGACATTGAGATCTTGCTTTCCTCTTAGTGACAGTAGAGAAACGTGTGATATATTTGGATTCGCCTGTTATTTTTTTATCCACAATGTTATCAAGTAATTTATCAACAATATTCTATCAATATATTAAAATGATGAGACATTTTAAATTTATAAATGATATATTAAATATATAATTTTTTTCCATTGGTGAGGCTGATTTTTATTTCTCAGCTAATATATTATTTGTATTTGGGAATGTAGTGAATATGTACTTTTTGTTGTTGCAACATTTAACTTTTTCAATTAATACTACTTTGGTATAAGAGGAATTATATTTTTAGGTTTTTTCGGTAAAGTCACGTAGGTAAAACATTAAAGTTAATCAAAGTAAAATAAAATAAAAATCACGACGTTTCGGAGGCAACACAAGCTTCCGTCTTCAGCCACGACAGCTGTATCAAGTAAATGAGAGATTGCAGGAGCTACCACTCTGTTTATATAATGGTTGGAGAGGGGGGGGGAGGGGAAAGGGCCAAGTAAAGCACACTTTTTATTCATATGGTAAGGTGAGGCTTAAGACCAAGAATAGACTGCATAACAAAGGCTGAGCCTTTGTTAACCTGTGACAAGGAGACAACCATGAAACATGGTAAACCTGTAATAGTCTGTCAAATAATATTGGCCAACTAAGTGTAGTTAAATCTTTTTTGCATGGTTACTTTTTACACAATCATTTAAAATGGTGTAGACTTCCCAATTTTTGACTTAAAACTTTCGTGACTGCAGGAATTTATATTCTTGGTTCTTTCGGTAAAGTCATGTAGATAGAAAATAAAAATAATAAAATAATATAAAAATACAAATAAATTGAAAATAATAAAGGCAAAAACCCCACGATGTTTCGATCGCAACACAAGCTGTCTTCATGAGGCGGAAGAAGACCGCTTGTGTTGCGATCGAAACGTCGTGGGTTTTTTGCTTTAATTATTTTCAATTTATTTTTTATTTGAATTTTATTTTATTACTTGTATTTTCTATCTACGTGGCTTTACCGAAATAACCAAGAATATGACACTTCCCAATGTTGCCGTTTCTGGACAACCTTGTGGTAGTTGTGAGTATCATATGTACAATCTCTTCCAGGAAATGTCCTAAATTGTTTGTCGGTCACTGAACTCCCAACCTTCCGAGTTCCAAAGGTGGTTAGCAGTTACTCTCTAATCAGCTATTGTAATTGGATCCCGATTTTTGAGCCTGTGTATACATCCAAATGCAAATTTGCACATTGGTGTTTATGTTTGTGAAAATGATTATCTTGCGTTTTGGCACTGCTGACTGTACAGTAATGTTTCCATCGTCACGTGTAGAAATGTAATATTTTCCACACCATTTGATCTCTTGTTTTACCTCCACTGAGATGGTTGTTTAGTTAGGCACATTTCCTAGAAGAGAATTGTTTAGGTTTTGGGAGCTTCCCATCAGAATGACATTCGGAGCTCTGTTTAAAACAACTACTTTTTTACTTCACAGTAACTTTCGTCCAATGTTATATACACTGTCAGACTCACTCTGAAAATGTAGCTTTTTGGGCAAATTAATCAGTATAATGTCTAGTGACAAAATCAGATATATCTAGCATTCTGACCTTGTACTTTTTACTCAAACAATTCATCATTAAACACTATTGATAGATCATAGTATTTGTAATAAATATATCATCCATAAAGGGCGGATAGTATGATGACTTATAACCCCTGTTTGTATTTGATGGTTAAACAGTAAACCATGAAAGGCTGCTATGGCGACATGTTTGTTAATTTTATTGCTGAAGCTTTTGTGTTGAACTCTTAAGTTTCACTTGAGAACACATTGATTGTTCCCCTCATTTTCCTTAATTAAATGTCTTACATATATCATTTCCATCAGAAACATGGTTTTGCCTGCATGATGCTAGCAGAATTCTTTGAATTGGTGTAAGTATATATATAATTTTTTCAAAATTATTTCGTTGTCACAGATGTGAATACTGGTGTTAAGTGTATATAGTCTGTCCTGTTGATCTCACGTCTGGATCACACGTTTGTTTTACAGACAATTCCTCTTTGTTGTGACCTTCACGACGTTTCTGATCAACTGTGTGGACTACGATATCCTCTTTGCCAATAAGCAAGTACATCCACAACCCAGCAGAAAAGTGACTCTCTACGATGCTTTGCTTTCCAGTGAAAAATGTACCGAGAGGTAGGAATGTTTATTTAAAGTCTTGACCTTCACACATGCTTTCAGTACAATTCAGGTTTGCCATGAGCTCAAATCGAGTGGCCAAGTATAATGATGTACGTACAATGTAAACTTCTGAATTATTCAATGCTCTGACTAATACTAAAGACAGGTACTCTGAGATTTGTTTCCAAGAAAGGTGCTGAACATAAGTCCTTATTGTGTTGTATGTTAATTAAGGGAATATACACAATCAAGTGGTGGGTGATAAACTGCATGATTTACAAGACTTTTAATACACAAAGTCTTATACCTTTAAAACATTGCTCTTGATTATAGTGTATCATATGACACATTACTATTACGTGAATGAATCCATCAAAACCACATTATGTCATTTTGTGAACCACTGCCAAAATAATTGGCAGCTGTGTTTTGAATATGCTTTTTTTTCTTGAACTTTGGTTGGTATACCTGTGGTATTTACAAAACTATTCATCTGTCTTTTAGCATTGCCTACAGTTTTATACTTGATTTATACCTACGGGGGAGTTATTTTTTGAAAGTCCATTCACTTAAGATACTTTGTTTCTGGCACACAATCGCTCTGTTCAGATGGCAATTATCAGGCTGTCATATTGACAACAATATTTCAAAGTATTATATTGCCTTCAGATAAAAGCGTTATTCAACCAAAAATACAAACACTCTTCATGCATTGAATCAATGCTAAAACGGAAATTTGTGCTCTGCCTCATAATTTGAAGGTTTGCATTCGAAGTTAATCTTGCTCATGAAAGTGTGAAATTACCTTTGTGAAGTAGATTAAATGTATCTCAATGTGTAGCACTTTTCACGTTTTGAAAAGGAAATAATTTGCACTAATGTATTAATTAGCCAAACATTGTTTGATGTAAGTGGAGTTTGAGACTGTAAGTTAGTGACTGTTGTGTTATCAACTAAATTAAGGATTATATAATTTGTGTATTGCCGAGTTGGACTAAAGTATCTCCGTTTCACACCAGTCAAGATGTGTATTCTTGGTGCCACCAGTTAGGTGACAGCCACTATGAAGATATATGTGCGAGTAATTATGAACTAGCACCTGTTTTGACCTGGGGGGGGGGGGGGAGCGTGGGGTAAATTCTAGCCCCTGTGTCAATTTATATTGAGAAAAGCACAGACAGACTTGTTGCCATGCATTGGTCACATTTTGTTTTGAAAATGTATGTGCGTGGCAAGGACAAAATTAGGAGTGAGTCACATGCTTTTGCTCACGTGTTTCATTTCCCAGTGCAAACCTTGGGACATACACAGGTGCTGTTAACACCATATATAGATCATGTTTACAAAACTGCCATCAGTGTTAGATAAGTGGAATGAAGTATGAAGTTATGATTTCTAAACGGCTATTTCAAGTAATTTTAACATGAACAAAGTTTGGAACCCATGACACTGAGTAAGCACTGTACAAATCTGTTATTCGTTAAAAATAGATTTGGCACATGTTTGTTTATGTGCAACATCACATATGTGTGTTTTTATACTATGTTAGGTAAGGGATAATTGTACCAATTGTCAGCTCTAATTGGTGTTTACATATTTAAAAAAATTGTTATGTTTTATAAACTGCTAAATATATGGCAGTTTATCAAGTGGATACCTTTTATAATATAGAATCATAAAATGGGAGCTAGATATGTATATCTGTAATTACATGTGTTTTGGTCTTTAACGAAGGATTTAAATCATTACTGTTAGAGAAACCTACTGTGACAAAAACAACTCCAGACCTTAAACCGCTTTGCAGTTGTAAACACATAGAAACCTGCACATGTCAAGAGGCGATCATCTGCTCCCCTCGTCTGATGCATGAGCAGGATTCGTGGAAACAGTTGGATCATCTTCCTGATCGTGATGGCAGGGACATTCTGGCTGTATCGTCTCATCAAGGTCATCTACAACTTCTCCAGCTATTTAGAGATCCGTGCTTTCTACATTAACGCTCTCAAGATCCCCATGGTTAGTGGGCACATGCAGTGGGTGCCTTGAGAAAATGTGTGGAACACCTGTGATACTTTTCACCGTGTATATATTGTTTATGTACGCGCGTTGCTATGAGCTGACTTGTTTTAAAAGTTAAATATAAATGACAATGAGACAACTGATATATTGCATATGCCTTTAACATTTTTAGATAATGTGGTGCAGTATAAACATGGTTTTGGTATTTGTTTTTGGTCATGGCATTTAAAGTAATATATATTTGGGATATTTATTACATTCACATAGTGTAACTTTGCTAATATCAGGCATATTTAATGTAAAGAGCAATATTTCTAAATGGAACAAGAGGGTATGTTTTAAACTGAATAGATCTGAGGATTTCCCTAAAAGAACACGATGCCACTTTATTATGTGTTGTGTACCACAACCATGTAGCCCATTCATGAAGCATATATTTATGACCTCTTTGACAATACCTGAAAGTTTAACACGTAGGCTTGCGCGGGCCAATATCCATAATGCAATATTTTTTTTGGGTCAGATCGTGTAAATATATAAATGTGTCATTAAACCGCCACCACCTGACAGTCAATTAGTAAGGTTTGTCATGTAAACCGAACAGGCCAATTCATTACCAGTACAGCACACCGGTGTGTTGGAGAGTAAAGCAATAAAACCTGTATTATGAATATCTCAAAGGTTCCACCTGTTACCCAGAAATAAATACTGTATTGTGATTGTACTTGTTTACAGTATGGTAAAAGCATGAAAATACCCACTGAACACGAAAGCAGATCATTTTGATTTATAAGTTTGGAAACATCAAGGCTAATGCTTATTCCACCCCCTACTGGCAAGATTTGGAAATGTTTTTAAAGATAATTTGCAAACGTCGATTAATGAAGGTGAACGTTCGGTGGCACAGTTGTTAATTCATTGCACTAGGAACTTAGCATCCTGAGTTTGATTCCCAGCCATGGCAAACATGAGTGACGAGTTATAGCTGAACTTCATTAACCTACACTGACTAGCATGAACAAGTATGGTTATACAACCCCTGTGATTGACACAGAGTTGGAGGGGCCTTCTTCTGGTATTGAAATGACCAAAGGCTGAATATCCTAAAGATCTCTACCATCCAGATTTTTGCCACTACACACAAATTCATTTGTGAGAAGTTACACATAATCCCGTTCACCATAAAATCACCAGAGAAGAATTGTCATGTAAATATGGACTTGTGCATTTTCGTGTGGTGGCGTGTACAGGCAGAGCTTCAGAACTTCTCGTGGCAGGAGGTTCAGGAGCGTGTGCTGGCAGTGCAGAAAGAGCAGCAAATGTGCATCCACAAGCGCGAGCTCACCGAGCTCGACATGCACCATCGTATCCTGCGCTTCAAGAACTATCTGGTGGCCATGGTCAACAAATCGCTGCTGCCTGTGCGTGTCCGTGTGCCCTTCGCCGGCGAGAGCGCCCTCCTCACGCAGGGCCTCAAATACAACCTGGAAATGCTGCTCTTCTGGGGCCCTGGCGCGCCATTCCAGAGTGCCTGGAGCCTTCGGCCCGAGTACAAGCGGGCTGGCTGCCGGCTGGAGCTGGCTGAGCGACTAGGCCGCACTATCTTGCTCGTTGGCCTTGCCAACCTCGTCCTCTGCCCGTTAGTCGTCGTCTGGCAGGTACTGCGAGTGTGATATTCCATATAGTGCGCTGCAAGCGCTGTAGTCGCACGTCAGAAATGTATTTTCCACAAACACTGCCCTTTAAAAAGATTGTAAGCTAACACATTTGTAAATGCCAAAACGTTGCATGAATATCGAACGCCTGATAAATTAATACAGTAGACTCTCAATTATCCACGTGCGGGTTTATCTGATTTGTGGATTAACCGCCGCACTTCAGATTTTGGCATGAATGACTCATGGATTTTCCCTCAATCCCAAATGAATAATCTAAAAACAGTTATACATTGTTATTCCTAGAAATGTTGTTTACATGTCACGTGCTTAAACTAAACAAAGATGTGCTCCAGTTAATCCGAAAATTCACGTGATCGCCTCTGCAGTACAATAGTTGCATATCTTTACAAGTGGAGGGAGTTTTATATTGATTGCCGTGGCACTGCTCTCACTGAGTACGCGTATTGATCGGTCGATTATTTTTTGTTCATTAACAAGCAAATTGTTCTTCACTTAAACATAATTTAGACCAATATTAGTGTTTTTTGGCATAGAGATCTGCGGAAAATTTTTAGATTATCCGCAATTTTTACTTATCTGCGGCAGTCGTCTCCATCATTGGCGCGAATAATCGAGAGTCGACTGTAATCATATTGCCAATTTAATATAATCAGTTTTTTTGCATGCAATCTTTGTAACTGTAATTTCTAATTTTTCATTGAAATAATGTTCTGGAAATATGCATCAATATAAGATTAGTGAACATATTTTTATCCTTCGCTGCTGTATATAAGGTTCTTTATGTACAGTATATGGAATCTGTATAATTTATGAATGTGGTTCTCTGGTCAGGTGTTGCATGCCTTCTTCCGGTACGCGGAAGTACTGAAGCGTGAGCCCGGTAGCCTGGGTGCGCGCCGCTGGTCCCTGTATGGGCAGCTCTACCTGCGCCACCTCAATGAGCTGGACCACGAGCTGCGTGCGCGGCTGGGACGTGGATACCGCCACGCCGCCAGGTGCTTGTGCCGCACGTTAACCACATACCTGTCAACACATACGGTTTGCCCGTATTCGTGTACAGGGACATTTGAGTTTTCAGGTTCATACGGCGTACAGCCGTTTCAATATGGGCAACATTTTTTTTTGCCGCCTTTGTTTGTGTTTCTCCCTTGTGATGGGACTTTGTAGGACGAACGTTGAGATTTAGAAGGGCACGGGGTGACCAATAAGATCTGAATTGGTCTGTAATAAGGTAGGCACTGATAAGGGGTTGACAGTTATGGAACCACTACTGCGCTGAAGTCGGCTAGTAAGGGCTCCCTACAGCTCTTGGCATTCTTAAAGCAGGATACAGCTGCGGGTTTTGAATTGTGGCAGTAAAGGATGCAAATGCTAGTGGGTGTTCGGGATACTTGCAGTGCCTGCAATTGATAGGTTATTTATGCATGACAGGCCAGCATCCTTGAGCTAAATATTTGATGTAATCCATGAGGATTCAATGAAATTCTTGCAGCTAATCAAGTTGGGTAATAAAAGTGCTTTGTTAATAAAATGGTCTCACTGCTCATTGTCAGTTTCAAGTGCAGAATCCTTTGGTTCAAGGGGCTTCTCTCTTGATGTGTCGGGATAGGTACATGGACTCGTTTACGGCACCTATGATGGCTGTGCTTGCCAAGAACGTGACGTTTTTTGCCGGCTCATTGTTGGCTGTGCTGCTGGCGCTTACGGTGTATGACGAGGATGTGCTGTCCGTGGAACACGTGTTGACCGCTATCACGGCACTGGGTGTCCTGCTCACCGTCTGCCGGTAAGTAAGATTTCTTCCCAAATCTGATCCCTAATTTTTTTTCCCGTATTTAGACAATTAGAATATTTTTCTAACCACCCTCTCAATGTTTTGTGATCCTTTCCAAAGGGCATTTATTCCAGATGAACACCTGGTGTGGAACCCTGAACACCTGCTACAGGCAGTTCTTGCTCACATACACTATATGCCCGAGCACTGGAAGGGCATCGCCCACAAGACAGAAACCAGAGATGAGTTTTCTCAACTTTTCCAGTACAAGGCAGTAAGTACTACAAGAGCCACACTGCGTGTATATGTATATCCTGATGTGTATATAGCGTGTTTTTATTTCCCTGATTGCTATGGTTAGATTTTACAGTGAGTAAACAATTAACAACAAAAGTGAGTCAACAATTATGCCTGGTAATTGAGAAACTTTATTTGTGTCCAAAATGCTGATAGGCATTCATCATGGAAGAGCTGCTGAGCCCTATCATCACACCCTTCATCCTCATATTTGGTGTGAGACCAAAGGCCCTGGAGATTGTCGACTTCTTCCGAAACTTCACTGTGGAGGTGGTGGGCGTGGGTGATGTCTGCTCCTTCGCACAGATGGACATCCGCCGGCATGGCAACCCCACGGTCTGCGGAATCATCCTTGTCCTTTGTCGTCGTGTGTGATAATTACCCAATTTGATCTTTTTCAGATGAATGCTTAATTCATTTAAGTGGCTTAACTTTACAGTCTCAGAATTAATTCACAAGCCAAATATAATTCCATTGCGTTAACTTGGTAATTAAATGTTTCTCTCCCTTTTAAATCACAGTGGATGTCAGCAGGGCAGACAGAAGCATCCTATTATCAACAAGCCGAAGACGGAAAGACGGAGCTCTCTCTCGTTCACTTCGCCATCTCAAATCCCCGCTGGCGCCCACCACGTGGCAGCAATGTGTATCTCAACCAGCTGAGAGAGCAAGTGCAGCGTGACAGCACTGCCAATCCGCAGCCCCTGCTTTTCAGCTCATTGCAAACTATCGAGTCGCAATCAGGGGTCAGTAACATTGGAAACGGTGCATGCACAACAAGATAATGCATTAGTGCTATGTTTTTCTGCCTTGGGTGGTAAACATTTCTGATTTGACCCATGGACTATGTCTTTTTTCTTTGGTGACCGCTGTTATTAATCATGACGACAGACCATTATCCAACATTTTTGACATTGCCTGTTAAGAAAAGTGGGCTGGGCAGATTTGGTGGCCGATGGATGAAACTGATGAAACACTTGTAATACTAAAAGTACAGGCTTTTTTTCTGCATGAGTTTTTTTCAGTGTTAAAGAGAACTTTATAATCGTCAGCATAATGTGCTTTATGTGCACTCTCAAGTTACGGTACTGTGCGAATCAGATTGAACATGTGGTTTGGCTTTATCAGTTTGGGGTCATGGTGTACTTTAAAGTATTTCTATTCCGTGTCTTATTACTTTGTTTTTACTGCATTCATGATTGAATTCAAGTCGGGAACATTGTGCTTCTCTTTTACGTGTCGGTGTTCTGTGCAGCCATACGGCTTGCTGGGCAGCATGTTGGGAGGCCCTTCCTCGCTGACGGCATACCGATCGACGCGCGACGCCACCTGCAGTCTTCCTGAAATGTCTGCGGCTACGGCCGCTGCCACAGCACTCATGTCGCTCTCCATGCCATCTGCGTCCCTCACTCCGGGGCCCAGGGAGGAGCTCGCCGAGATGCCGGATGCCACCCCTGGAAATACCACTGTCACCGCACGCCCCGGCACATCCACTGGCGCTGTGGGGGGCATGTCCATGAGCACCGGTGGTAGAGGAAAAGTCAGGTATACAGCATAGTTTCATAATGAAAACTTTATCACAGTAGTAAATGTCCGGTATCGGTTTTAGATTTGACAGGTCCTTATCTTCATGTGAATATAATGCAGACTGCTTTGACAGAGACCAGCCTCGTCATAAGACATCAACTCTTGTTTGAACCTTAGTAGTGTCCAACAAAAACCATGCTCTGGTAGTATACGCACTCTCTCTGGTGTGGACCATTCAGTTTCAAAGACAATGCATATACTCCCAGAGCATGTTTTTTTTGTTTGCATAATCACAAGTACGTGTGGTTAAGTCAGACATTATTCCTGGCAAAAGGTTTCAGTTTCGTGTTTTTAACATCTTAACACCTGTTTTATTGCCAGTAAGGGTGAAACCTATTCTTATATGTTGATACTGGCAAGAGGTCCCAAGAATAATGGAAAAAATTTGGAAAACTCAAATGTACCCACAAATTGGGATTACACATAGCAGACTAATGCCCGTTGTTAGGCCAAGTGCCTCAGCAACCTTGTGCCCACAGGGACAGCCACTTGGGGTGCCCTTTCAAATATTTGAGATTGCATGCAAATTCCTTCTCTCTTGTATCGTGTTCCAAAAGATGCCATTGTGTAAAGAGCACTCCATGAAGAACAAATACACTCAGAATTGTAGGAAAATGTTTCATAGTCGTGTCTTATGTATCATCAATGCATTGTTGAATGTAATGAGTGTGTTTTGGACACTGTTGCAGTTTCGGAGGAACGGATTTCCGTTCCAGCAGTGTAGGCAGCAGCTTCAGGGAAGGTCCTTCACAAAGCAGCATTTTATCAGAGTTTGCTTCGGCCGAAATGAGCCTGCACGCCATCTACATGCATGAGGTATCTTACTCGATGTTGTGCCGTACAATATCCATACCTTCATTAGACATGGGGCATTTAAACGAAAATCATATTTTAGTAATTACGTTTTGTTAAATTGTTTTGCGCAAACGTTGAAATGATAAAGTAACATAAACTGATATAAATATATTATGTTCCCAATAAAGTTTGTATGTTAAACAGTATTCCTTTGAATAAATATGTAAACAAAGTTTTGTATATTGAACAATAATAAAGTGGGTTTCCAACATTTGGCATAGAGCAATAGTTATGCTTATCAAGATGCTAGTATTGACATATTTGCTGAAAACTGTCTCATGGCGTTTCTGTAACCAGGCACGCAGGAATTATGGGACAAGCGATGCCCAGGCTCGATACCATTGGCAGCAGTCTGAGAACAATGGAGACGAAGACACAATGGACGAGGTCAATGCCCTGTCTGGTTTCAGGGAGTCAAGTTTGCAGCTGCACAACACTGGCTCGAACTCTGGTTCGCACTCAAGCTCAGTTTTGGGCTCGGGCCAAAGAGAGACGTATGTGTCTCCTTCTGCAAGCATAGGCCACTCTGGGGACTATATGCCATCCAACATTGGCTCCTTGCAGGACACTCACGGCGACAGCCTGGGGCTAATGGTGACAAGAGAGAACACAGAACTAGGTGCGTTCCCCTTTCGGCACTACGGCGGCACGTCAGGTGAGCACTCAACTTCACCGGTTGTCTTTTTCCAAGAATGACCAGTACTAATAAAAAATATTTGAATACATTAGAATCCCATTACAGTATCATGCAACACCTATAGTTTAACAATTTTGAGTGCCTTATTATTTGTGGTAAAATAACTTCAACCATATTTTGGAAAACATTGTTACTGACGGAATTGCCTTTTTGCCTAAATTTATTGAGAAATGTGCAAACCAATGCTAGTTTTCTTCATGGTTGTGTCAATGGCTTGTGCTTGTGCTGCTCCACTTTCATGTTGACCCCTGAAGCATCGGAAAATATGCTGCAGCCCGAGCGAGGCTCTCCCAGGTTTGGGTTAATGCCCATGGGTGGCTGGCAGGAGGACATGGCTGGATTGGGGACCATTGACCCACATGGGGGTGTGCCCAGCTGCATGTCTCCCAACCCGCAACAGGTCAACGAGGTTGCTTACACTTTCTCTCACTGTCCCTCAACACTTGATTTGAGTTTATAGTTCATTACTAATGCGGGTAACAAAGTTTATAAGGACGAACATGACTTTGTGACTTTACCGAAAAAACCTAAGAATATGAATACTTGCAGTCACGAAAGCTTCAAATCTAGAATTAGGACGAACATGTATTGCCTATATAAAAACTTTGCATTAAATTTAAAACCAGGTACATGTTTTTTAAAATCCTTTGTTAAAAAAGTAGAGGTTTTTTTGTCAACGTTTTGACCTTTTTTTGCATATTTAGTTTCTCAAAGCAATATTTTTACTTTGAAATGACATGAACCAATTTCTTTCCATTACAGAATTAAATGAAAGGCTGCTCCTGGAAAAAATGGAAGTTGAGCTCTACAATTACTGGCATGTCTCATTTGGCCAGCAGTGGCAAAGGGTGTGTGCATCCTGTGCAATGGTGATTATGTGCTCAATGTAACAAAACAAGTACTGCATGTACTGTGTGTTTAATTTAAATGGAAATGTCTGAATCATTTACTGCAATTGATGTCCACTAGGTGTAATTGAGAACATGACTGTGTTCCTTAGAGCTTTAAAAACACATCTCTTTAACCTGCGTAGGCATTTAACTTTTCTTACATACTTTAATTTGTTATGAAAATGTATTAAAACAAGAATGCATGCTTAGATTTAAAGTTTATATTGAAAACTTTACAGTTTTTGAATCAAAGTGGTCAAAAGCCACATTCTCTACATTAATGCTGCAGTAAAAAAGGTAAAAACACGGTTGTGAATTTACTGATAGACAAATGTGGTAATAGATGCTGCAGCATTTTCTTCCTGGCAAAAACTGGCCAATAAACATATTTTATAAATGTAACCATTGAAACCTAGGTTATTACCCGAGCTGTAAATAATTACCGCTTAGATGTTAACTATGTCATGCATCCACTTTTTACTTTCTCCAAGTATACCGAGAACATAACATGGTCACATGGTCATTATTTTAATTGTTGTTATTTTTTTTACAGTTTTAATACTTAAGTGTTAAGATATGTTGTGCTATGTACAACATACACAAATATTATAACGATGGTGTAATACTAATACATGCAATCTGAAAAGAAATTATTTTCTGAAAGTTACCTATTAATGATATATTAACGGTGCTCATACGCTAAGCTTAAAACCGTTTCTGATCTCTGCTCAGTTGTACGACAGCACTTCCCCAAAGCGCATCCCACCGGGTGGCAGTGTTTGACCTTTAAGCTGTCTGATCCATGCCATTGCTTATGAATACATGTACTTTGTGCGTGCAGTGTGTTTAAAAGGACAAGTTACCCAGGTAATGAAAAGTTATAATGATGAATATGTAAAATACATGTGTAAAAATTACTCCGCGTATGCAAGTTATGGTGGAAGCTTGCATACATTGCCATGTAGTGGAATTTTAAGGCTGTTATTCCGCTGCCTGTAAACATGGGCTCAGTTTGACACTTTTTTTTAATTGTACAAGAAACGCTAATATAAGAATGTAATATAAACATTTTCAAATAGATTTTTTTTCATAGCGATGCACTGTTAAATTGTAAGATATTTAATAAATTAATATAAAACCATTGCCCGTTTTGTAAACTTGACTGCAAATGATGTGTTCATGTTTTGTTTATGCAAGAAAATAATAATTTTATTCCTCACTTTCTGAACACCTGTGGACATTAAAAAAAAGCTTTATTTCCATCAGTTTATCGGCATTCAAAGTGCACCACAAATATTGTGCCTTGGTCCCTTAACGTCAGATAAAAAACACTGATTCAACATAGATGCGCTATTATAAAGATATTGCAAATGGCTTGCAAAAAGCTCACAGAGGCTACACAATTCAAATGTTATAAAGCAGTACAAACTTTACGGCAGTTAAAGCAGTGCATGTTTTCAAGCAGATATACACTACACGGATGCTGTTAATAATTACTATATTAAAATAAATCACATTAACACTTTTTTTAAGAGTGAAAAAAAATCATCCCGAAGCTTTGCTTGGGAGGCTCAATATTAATACTAGGTTTCACGTTTTAAATGTAATAAGCAGTTTGGTTTTTAACCACGTGTGGGCATACACGCATGTGCATTGGGCGAATACTGTGCAGGGAATGGCTGTGGCTGGCCAAACTTGATGCAGTTAGGTGTTACGGATGCCAAGGGCTTGTTCCAGCTCCTGTCTGCGCTGCTGCACCTATAAGTACAACACATGCAAGCAACAAATCGTTCACCTAAGGACATTCAAGTACATTGTATATGATCTTGCATCATGGTTCCAACTCGTGTATTCGTGAATAAATGTGCTGCCAGTTACAAATACTTCCAAGTGTTAATGGCAATTATTCTGAATACTTGGACCAATGAGATTGAGCGTAATGTTAGTCTATATGTTATAAATCATTAACCCTTATGAATATCTGTAAACCTTCGAAGTTGTGAAAATGCTGTTTGCCGCAAGACTGCACAAAATTAAATGAGCGGTTAATGTTTTAAGTGAAGAACAATTTGGGCGGGACGGGGTAAGGATGGTTTTGGCTCCCCATTTCCAGGAAATATTTAGCAGCAATGTCTAGTAGCATGAATGCAGCAGTTTACATTGTATTGTCTGCCATTTAAACAGCGACACCATAGACTACTGATAACTTAATCACGGATTAACACCATTCCACAAACAATATAATGCAGCATGTCATGCTGTGCAGACTATTAAACGTAAAATTGTAACATTTCATTGGACTAATGTCAGCCAATCCAAGGATAACATGAAATATGCACCTGACCTCAAGAGGGTTTTTATAATAGTGTGAATCATTTCACCATTGTTATTTAAAAGACAACCGGTTTACTCACATGCTTTGGGTTAATCAAGCAAGATCTGGAATCGTATATTTTCACATTACAAAATTATAAACGAACAAATAATAGCCACTGAAGGCTATTAAAATGGCTTATGATTAGGTATACTATTCATGGCAAGGAAATAAACTTGGAACATTGATACAGCCTGATGTTTTCAATGAGATGAAAAAATGCTGCAGACATGCAGAAAGTCATTCAATAAGGTTGGATATTTGGGGAAATCCTTTTTGCTAAATTACATTGTTTTTATTCCATTACAATGATGGGAGATTTAAATAACAAACGCATATTTACTTATTCACAAATGAGTGATTGTGGGTTAGGTTTATTTGATCTGCCATCAAGGAAGAAGAGTTCAACCCAGATACATACACTGACATGTTTGGACCACAAATTTACTGGACTGGCCATGTAATTATGTTTTAAGGTAACATCATGCAGGACAGCTCTCTGAAGCAGTATCTGTTTAAATACAATTAAATTCATGAAGATTGTTGGCTGTAGGTTGCATTTAAGGGATCAAGCTGCTGGTGATTATGATTAAAGTGATGAGAAGGCATCTTATATTGTCTTGTCAATAACAGCATTGATTTAAATTATTAAACACGCAAGCTGAATTGAAAGTGAATTTCACTGTAGGCAGAATCATGTTCAACCTTGGAATAGAAGTAGCGACAGACAGCCTCCTGCGACCACGGCTGAAAGTAAAACTCAGCACGCCGTTCCTCCTCAGGGTTCCCCACAACATCTGTCATAGTCTGCAGGAGGAATATAAAACAGGAAGTTAAATTGCAATGCGCAAGCAGACAGAATCAGCACTCCAACAGATGGTAGGCACAGCCTGCTGCTTCTGAAAATACCCTTGTACATTTGCATTTTATTGTTCTACATTATTATGAAATATGGAATTTTCACAAAGTAGAAGAAATGCAATATTAATAATACTTTTGTAGCAATGTTAATCCTTTTAAAAAGGAACACTTGCATACAATCAATACTACAGCAGGTGCACTGTTAATCCTGTTTTATTATGAACCGTGTTTCATGTGAGCCAAGAGGGCTCCCTACTTTGAGGTCGCGGCTCTGTGACTGCAGCCAGTCGTTGATGAAACCCTGTGGGTCTTGTGCGAAGCCAAGCATGAACTCGCGATGGATCTTGAGCTGATTGATCGTTTCAATTGTCTCGTGGATCTGCAGACGCAACACATGAGCAGGCCCGTACACACGTCGGCTGAATCTTTTCTGGAACAAAGGATTCATTATTGTGATTCTGCAATTTTCAATGGCTGCTTTTTCATTTAAAAAACATTTATTGAGACTTTAGGCAATGCGTGGAAAGTGAAAATATGCCAATTAGAAAAACATGCTATTTCAATAGTACACTGTAAACTGCTCCATTAATTTCAGTAAAATCCACATTAAAACATGACTTTATTTTGACTGATACAAAACTGGTGCTAAAATATGGAAATGAAACAATACTTATGGATTCATTATGACAAAGCCATACTAATCTGCAAAGTGGCTAGGCACGTCCATATTGGACAAGTGCAGTTGGGTTGATACCTTGTTATCAAGGGCGGCGATCTCCTGTTGGCTTGCTGTCGACAGCAAAAATGAGTTCATCTGAGCCTTCAGCATGTCATCCACCTCCACATCCACGTCATAACATGCTGTCTTCTTCTGGTCATTCGGGTCAACACTGCTGACAATATCGCATCATACATTTAGAATCGACTTGATTGTTACATAAATGTAAATCCAGTAAACCTACTGATAGTAAGTTCGGGACCTGACTCGCGCACTACCTGATTGTGTGGTTGATGACAATGGGATCTGGAGGCATCAGGAGTCCATGAAGCCGTTGAGGAATCTCAGAGAATTTCATCCTCGGACAGTCAAAAATCTGGGCAGTGTACAATTTTTTAGAAACAAAAGTTAATTCAACTTACAATTTACACCCAGCCATCGTCCTCCGATCTCCCATTAACATGCTCATTTCTCTCACATTAACATAGACACCTCCCGCGCACTCAATGTGGAGGTCGCCTTCCGATCTTACATTAACATGCTAATTTATTGCATTAACATCAATAGCCCCGCCCACTTCGTTTATGACCCTTGGGCTACACCCATTTCAAACCTTTAAAACAGCCTGCCTCAGCAGCTTTCCTCTCTTTTTAAATCCTTTATATTAAGTTCGCTTGCTTGCTTGCTTGCGTGCTTGCTTGCTTACGACCGTGCAAATCTTTTGGTCGTTTTTTAACCCACTTCCCGTGATCCAATCGAGCTGACATTTTGCACACAGACTCGTTGTGCGAGACAATTAATGTTCGTGAATTTTTTTTTAAAAAATTTTACACTGTTTAGGGAAAACAAATTAAATATTTAATTACCAATTGCTTAATACTGGCAGACAATCATCTGACCCATAGGTGGCAGCCATCTCAAGCCAGAGGACGAAAGGACTCTAGCCGCCACGCATATAAAGGATTTATAGTGAAAAACTTTGTTTTTACGGGTTATACTTATTTCAGCCTGATGACGACCGCTTGCGTTGCGATTGAAACGTAGTTTTTTTTGTTATTTTCTTTGAACCCATCTACGCGACTTTACCGAAATACCCAAAGAATACAATTTCCACCTGCAAGTAAATGCACACCACTTTGTAATGTTATTTATCATGTGGCAGTGGACATTATTGATGCAGCATGTGGTGAGAGATGGGCACCACTGGGGTTCGCGGTGGCAGACCTGCTGGAAGTAGGAGTCACAGTTGATGTACTCGCGCTCATGAGAGTCCTGCAGGCGATGTGTCTTAATATACTGCCACAGTGCCTGGATGATGGCGGGCCGAGTCTGCGTGTGGATGCCCAGCAAGCGAGCCAGGTGCGAGTTCAGCTTAAATTGTGGGGGCTGTGGAACACGGCGGTGGAGACAAGCAAAGTGAATTTGCAATACACTGAAAAAACATTCGGAATGGATTACATTAAGAAATGACGAGAGACTTTTTTGACAATAAAATCAGAACGGTATATTGGTACAATGTTGCACCTAAATGCACCCTTTGTGACATGCACTTTTAGCTTGCTTTTAAGTGCCCCACACTAACTGTTTAAGACAACATACAAGGTTTACATTTGCATTCAACCTATATTTTACCAGCAACCATCTCCACAAACAATATCCAACTTGGAGGCAGTTCAATACTGTGGATTGTCATTTTAAGTAGTCATCACTGACATAAAAATGTTACTTATACAGTATCAAAATGCTACAAATGCATATTCAGATGCCATACAGGGTCAACGTCTCAAAAGCCAATGAAAAATAATATTAAGTAAAAATAATATTAAGGGAAAAAACGAAAAACGCAAGTTAGGAAGACTGAGCAGTGGTATGGCACTTCACAAAATCCAATCTCAACCACCATAATCCCACGCAGATGGTGAATTGGACTGAAATGCATATTTAGAGATTGATGCAACATCTCTTATGCTACCGGTAGAAGGAAGTGGGTGGGTGGTGGGGGTGGAGGGGCAAAGGGTGGGAGAAATTACAAATGCCATTATGTAACTATTCAACAGCAGAGAGGACTTGTCTGAACTTAAAATGTGGGGAGGGAAATCAGCATGGACCAATATGAGAATCATAATCAAGGGTAGCAGAGGAGAAGGATCAACCTCTCAATGTTACAATCAGACTTCTGGCCATACCTG